TCACTCGAGACAATGTCTCTAAGCTTGTCGAACGCGGCTTGGCATTTGTCGGTCCAATCCCACTTCTTGTCCTTCTTGAGCATGTCCGAAAGAGGAGCTGCAATGGATGAGTAGCCAAGTATGAACCTGCGATAGTAGTTAACAAGGCCAAGAAATGACCGTAATTGGGGGACGGTCTTGGGCCGACTCCATTCTTGAATGGACTTGATCTTCTTAGGGTCCATGAGGAGCTGTCCTTCCTTCACGAAATGACCTAGAAATTCCACTTGTGGTTGTGCAAAGTCGCACTTCTCAAGCTTGATGTACAACTCGTTCTCCCGAAGTACATCCAAGACGAGCTTGAGGTGACCTACATGCTCACTCAAAGACTTGCTATACACAACGATGTCATCTAGATAAATAACCACAAACCTATCTAGATACGGATGAAACAGTTCATTCATCATCGTGCAAAACGTAGCCGGAGCATTAGTTAGGCCGAAAGGCATTACCTTGAACTCGAAGGAACCATACCTCGTGACGCATGCGGTTTTGGCCTCATCTCCCTCGGCTACTCTCACTTGGTAATAGCCCGAACGCAAGTCGAGCTTGGAGAAGACTCGGGCTTCCCTAAGCTGATCAAAAAGGTCCGCAATTAAAGGTATAGGATACTTATTTTTCACGGTTACCTTGTTAAGGGCTCGGTAGTCGATACACATCCGAAGGGAGCCATCCTTCTTCTTTTGGAAGAGGACGGGCGCGCCATACGGGGCCTTAGAGGGCTGAATGTAGCCTGCATCTAGGAGGTCCTCTAGCTGTTTCTTGAGTTCGGCTAGCTCGGGAGGAGCCATTCGGTACGGGGCCATGGCCGGTGGCTTGGACCCGGGAACGAGCTCGATAGCATGATCCACTCCTCTCCTCGGTGGAAGCTTCTTGGGAAGCTCCGAGGGCATCACATCTGCATAAGAGACTAAGAGAGAACGTACCTCGCTCGGGACATGAGCTTGACCCGAGGGTTCATCGTCGTTTAGGTCTCGGATGGTTGTGAGGAAACAATCCGAGTTCTTGACTCCTCTCTTGAACTGCATGGCCGAGAGAGTTGTGGAGTCTCTCGGGGCTGGACGTAGTGGAACAATGGTGGGCTTGTCCTTGTCCACTATCACGAGTGAGGAGGTGGCTGCGGGGATGAAGGTGCTCACCGAACGGAAGAAGGTGAGTCCGAGGACAACTCGAAAGTCATCCATGGGCAAGACCGTGAAATCGGTCTTCCCAATCCAATCTCCTATCTGGATTCGGACTCCCTTGGCCACACCTACAGCAGCTTGTGCGGGAGAGTTCACGGCTTTGACCGAACCTCCACTACCGTCTAAGCGTAGCTTAAGCTTTTTGGCTTCACCTACATCCATAAAATTGTGAGAAGCACCTGTATCGAACATAGCAGGAACTATCTTACCGTATATGTCGATGTCCGCATAGAGAAGGCCTCGGTTAGGTGACTCGGAAGCTATGGCATTCTCGGTTGAGGATGGCTTGTTCAATGTGTTGAATCTGTGGAGGGATCCGACGATGGCTGAGTCTCCATCCGTCTCCTTCTCCTTGCCTTTGCCTTTGCTTTTGTCGGGTCTAACTTCGGCTGTATTGATCTTTGCTCTCTTTGGACACTCTCGGACCCAATGGGGACCACCACAGAGGAAACACGGCTTAGGTGGCTTCGACCGATCCTTAACGTGTCCCGAACCATGTGAGTTTGGTGGCACACTGATCCGGGAGTTGTCTCGGCTCGGGAAGTTAGACCTTGGCCTGTTCCCGTCTCGGTTACCTCCTTGGTTCCTCGAGGGTTGGTTGGGACGATTTTGGTTGTATTCCGGAATGCTCTCCACAATCGTGATGGCCTCTTCTAGGGTTTGGGCGTCCCTACGGTTCACCTCCATCCTAGCAAAGTCCTTCAAACCATCCTTGAAATAAAACAAAGCATCTCTATCCATTAGGTCATGCATCTCTAATCGTAATGCTGTAAAATCACGGATATAATCAATTAAACTCCCTGTGTGCCGGAGACGTCGGAACCGAGTCCGAGCCTCGTCGGCTGCATTGGTGGGGACAAAGTGGCGTCGGAGTTCAGCCTTGAACTGAGCCCATGTGTCCATTCTGCGTTCCCCTCGCTCGCGGTCAGCAAGGTAGCGCCTCCACCAAAGTTGGGCCACTTCTCGGAGATAGGTGGCAGCATGTCGGATCTTGGCTTGGTCGTCGGCAACACCAAGAGCTTCAAAGTACTGGTCCAAGGTGAACAGGAAGGACTCCACCACAGACGCACTCCGGTTCCCATTGAAGATGAAGGGCTCGGCCACCTTGATGGGTAGGTGGTTGTGAGCCGGGGCCGGTGCTGGGGCTGGAGCCGGGACCGGTGCAGGGGGAGGTACCGGAGCAGGGGCTGCTTGGTTCCTGTGCAAACGACACTCAAGCTTTAGTTCATTGACTAAGTGACGAAGGTCACTTACCTCTCGGTCATGGTCCTCTCGCAGGAGTCGGATCTGCACGTCGCGTGAGTCCAATTCGGCTTGGGTCCTCTGCTCCATGTCCGAGAGCATCTCCTTGGTGGTGTCACCAATGGCGGAGATCTCCTGTTCAAGGTCATCCATGCGTGCATCCTGGTGGGCCGAGACATCCTCCAAGACTTGGACACGGGGTTCCAAGGGTTGGGATTGTGTCTCGCCACTATCGGTTGCGTGACAAGAGTACGACCGGAACCAGTGTTCCTACACAACTCCATGCTTCGACAGAGAGCGTAGAAACACAGGAACCAGCATACGCTCACGAGAGACGTGCTATCACGCCACCGTGAAAATATCAAACCGACTCCGCAATTCCTTCTAATTAGGTACGCAACACAAGACCCCAAAATCGCCCACGAGCTTACTAGCTCAAGGAAAGCAACTGAAAAGGATAGATGTTCAACAGTTCGATGCACAAGCACGGAGCCTGCCGACAGAAGCTATCCCACCACCACTCATACGCCGCACGTCATAGGATCCACCAACACTCCTCCATACTGCCGACATATCCGAACTAGGTCCAGACGTGGTGACAATAGAAAGAGCGAAGCCAAATCCAAGCCGCAAAAGCGCGAAGAGCAACGATTCTCGTTGATCGGACCGAACGGGACTACTCAGTGCGTAAATCCGACCACACTGAAAATTCCGGCGAACCGTCGCCGGAATTTTGGCCGGAAAACCGCCGGCCGGCGGGACAGTCACCCCGTGGACCATCCCATGTCGGCACGAACGTGTATGAGGGGGGGAACATACACGACCGTACCGACCCATCCAGACCCCAACTACCATGCCCCCCCTATTGTCACGGGTCTAGAGTGAAGCTAGGAACCACGTGAGGCAGCCAAGACGAAAGGGAGAGTCTCGGACGTGCGTTGGACACGGGAGAGCTCGAGGGACTTGGCTAAGCCTTCGGACTTAGGGAAATCCGAGAAACTTGAGGTGTTTGAGAAAGGGAGAAGATCCAGGAGGCAAGGGAAAGCCGACGGTACGGCTGGGGATTTTATTAATAATGGGAAAAAGGGTTACAAGGGCTGCGTGCGACTTGGAACAAGGGAGGCTCACGGTGGCGGTTTGTAAGCCGGCAACGTGGAGGCCAAAGACAAGTCGGCGCAGGCTAGGGTTTCAGAAACAAAGAGGAGAAGATTGGGGAATTTTCGAGATGCCTTTCCCTCTTGGCCAGCCCTGGATTTTATTAAGGATGGGCTGTAAAACCAAAAAGGAAAGTTCACAATTTCGGTCCCCCATCTTTCCATTTCGTCCGTACTTCCCTAAAACGAAAAAGGAATCAATCTAACTTGCCTAAACTCATCTAAGTACATTCTAGAACACTTAAATGGGCTTTGGCCCGAGCCCAAACCACCAAGGATGGCAGCACACGCCCAAGAACTCGTCATGGGCCATATGCGACCAAAACAGGTAAGTCTCGGGTCAAAGCTTGGTCCGATTGTGGCCTTGGCACGAGCGTGGTCTGGACATGTCCTGGAGGTCTGGGAGAGTGTTGGGACGTCGGGGCATGGTGGTCCGAGGCCGTCCATGGTCTGTGACCCGCTAAGGAAGCTTCTCGGCCATTCCTTGTCCGTGTGTGCGTGCTTCCTCGTCCGTGTGTGAACCTGTGAACACATGTGAACGAGAAAAAAGAAAAGGACTAGGAAGGTGAAAAATTACCCCATTTTTCCCTCACATAAAAGAGGTGTCGGGAGCTGACCAGAATCACGAGATCCATTCATCTTCGTTTTAGGGATTCAAGACAGCACGAGTGAGAAAGTGTCTTTGCTTTGCATGCATCGATCCAAACCAACACCACCTTTCTTTTTGTATGTGTGTGTGTGTTTTGTTTATTCAATGTTCCTTTAAAAAAAAAAAAAAACTGAATTCGGACATTCATTCATGCCATTGCATTAGGGCATCAAATCTCAAACTCAAAATTGGATTCGAGATCACGGTGTCATAGAATTATGCCCCTAACTAGGGGTCGGCACGACGAGTACCCGAGATTTTCGGTCATCCGGTCTTGATTGGTCTCATCCCTTTTGGATTTTGAGGTCAGGAGTACTTGTGTTTCAATCTCGTGAATGTTGGATATATACCCAAACTTTGAAAACCCGCGAGACGTGCGTAGCGTTTGGGTAACTGCGGCGACATACGGTCAATGAGAGTCAATTAAGAGGATGGCGAGGGGAAAGGGCCGAGGGAGTCGTACCGGATCGAGGCAAGAGGGTCAATGAGACGAAGGGGTCTGGGATTCACGGCAAAAACCTATATTCAAACCCCATCAGGTTCTCATTGGCGAAAGACCCGACCTCGTACTCACCGACAATCGGGTTTCCGAATTTCTAATCACGTTCGGCCCTATCCCTAATGACATTTTCTAATACCGGTGGTCAAATGTGTGTGTGTCCATCATCAGTCCATGAGTAAAGTTTTCATAGCCAGAGAGCATTGTGATTGTTCCAATGCAAAAAAGAAGCATTTCACAGGAAAGAAGAAGCCTGAATCATCGTAAACACTTTAAATCATCGTCAGTTCTGCAATCGAGTTCGAGATCGAGATCGAGACCGAGACCGGGATTTCCCCGGGCTACAACAAAAGAACAAAGGTGCAAAATTGCTTACTCGAAGAAGGATCCGAGAGAGAGGCTTACACGGATTTTTCGTGAAGGGGAAGCTCGAAATGTACAGATCCGTTTAAAGTTGCAGCCTTTGCAACACGTCGAAACTCCCCGTCCCCGACTGCACTGGCAACCCGAGACAGATCCTTGAAGAAGGTGTTTCCAAGTTATCAACCTCTCCATAAGTAGCTGCTTGAACGATGAATCGGGTAGCTGTTTCAAACGACATTCTGCAGAAAGGGGACGTGGATTCCGCTATGCCTCCCATTCGGCTCATAGGACGATACCCTCCCGAATACGTCATGTAATCCGCAATCAGATTCAAGTGCCGAATACTTACGGAGATCCCGTATGATTTGAACACGTGGTTTATTTCTCTGATTATGGTCTCTCTTGCTGCTTCAACTCCATAGGTGTTCAGCATAGCATGAATACTGTTGCTGTACAAGTATCTGACGTCAATCTCATCTTGGAGTTCCCAGAAAGTTGTGAAATCTATTCCAGCGGCATGAAGTGCCGGTTTCGCCTTCTTTTCATCGTTGGAAACGTCTTTTCTCTCCTTCGGATTCTCCCCGTAGTAAATCACCTGAGCATCACCACAATCCGTCACCGTGCATCGTTGAATTTCCCCACAATTCTGAATGTAAACCTTCTGTGCTGTCTTCTGAGCAATCTGGAACAATACAATATGGAGAGCTCCATGTCTCGTTAAAGCAACAATACCAAGAAAAATAGGTTTTGGTTTAAGGAGAATCACTACAAGCGAAAGGGTAGTACCTGAGCAAGAAGGATATGAGGCTCTTTCTTGAACTTGAAGTGGACTTCGAACTCCATTCCTTTCGCTTTCACGAAGACGTGCCTGTCGGTTTCCTTTACTTCAAAGGCTTTCCTCTTCTTCTTCTTCTTCTCCGTCTTCTCTGCTTTTGTCTTCTTTCCTTCTTCTGGTTTTGGCTCTTCTCCATCATCACCTACGAGATCTTCCTTGCTAATTTCCATGTCCTCATCTTCATTATCCACTTCAGGGTCTTCTATTCCGCTCACTGATGATGGCTCGTTCTTCTCTTCATCGGAACTTTCCTCGTAATCCATCTCATCTGTTGCTTGCTTCTTTCGTTTCTGTGCATCTGAACCGAGATCATCTATGTCTTGACCTTCAGCATCCTCATCCTCATCTTCTCGGACCTGCTTCTGAGCAACAGATCCGTCACCGTCATCCTCTCCATTTCCAGCTTTCGACGGTGTTTCCTCCACAAAATTTTTAATGCCACTCATTTTAGACAGCAGAACTATGTGATTTTGTATCGCATCCTCCAATGCTCGTAAAAACACAACCGTTAGTGTCTCTTCCCAGTCTTTTGCGGTGATACCAGTGTTCTTCGGGTAGTGCTCGGGCTTATAGAGCTTCATCTTAAGCTTGTGAATACTGCAAAGTTCTTTTTCGAGAATCGTAAATGGTACAACTGAAACTTCCATACCCTCGATTATGTCCGCCACAGTGATCTTCCTCAACTTATCAGCGATGTCATTCGCATCATCCCTGCATATATATCAATCTATTGTAAAGGATCTTCATTTGGAAAAAAAAGAGATAATCTTTGGAATCGAGTAACAAATCTCAGAAGTTTATAACGAGAAAATGTCTCCAGGACATCGGCAGATATATTCCTCCAAATCTCAGGGAGTTTTTCCTATTGTTAGAATTCTAGCATTCAAGACTTAATATACGGTTAGAGCAAAGGAAACTCAAATGAACTTACTTTGTTTTGCCCTTGAGCAAGGGACATGACATTATTGGTGTCTTGATGTCAGCTGAAGCAGTCATCAAGATCTCTTGTAACCGTGGAATTCCGAGGGTGACATTCATCTCTCCACGCCCAGCAAGATGGAAAGTATTCAGCCTGAAAATTCATAAAGGGAGAACTTTTTTCATTATGAAATATCCAGCTAGCTCGGATAAAAGCTGTAAAAGCTGTAAAAGAATGGATAAAACATGCTTGTTCATCCAAAAAGTATAATTCAGGATCCAAAAAAAGTATTGAACTTCAATTACTAACTATGATAAAATCATCAAAGAACACTCAAAAACTATAAAGGAAGATGACTCACGTCATTTGAGTTGATGGCTCTCCTACAGATTGTGCAGCAAGAACACCCACAGGCTCCCCTGGCTGGGCAAGACTTGCAAAATATTTAGGCTTTACCAGTTTCAGAAGTTCTTCTTTCACTAATTTAGACGCAATACGTTCCTTCAATGGCAGTGCCTCCACGAATTTCTCAGCTTGCTTCTTGAGAGTGACAGGAAGATCGGTAATGTAACAATTGGATTCTGATAACATGTCTTCACTGCATCTTTGGAGAATCATATCTCGATTCTAAATCATGAGTAGAGAAAACGAATAAAGAGCGTATTCCCCAAGGGCCAGATAAAGAAAAGCTAAAAAGACGTATCATGAGAAGAGAAATAACTCACTGCTGTCAGTTCTTTGAACTTATCAATGAAGCTTGTTCTATGGACATCCACACCATCTTCTCCATACTGGAACTGAATGATGGACCCATCAGAATCCCGGACAGTATAATCATAATTGACTTTTAGGCTCTCGAGATTTTTCATCAAGCATCTTTGCAGGTATCCACTCCGTGATGTCTTCACAGCAGTATCAACTAATCTGAGAACCAGAATGTTTCGTGTTAACAAAGCGCTAGAACACAGACATGTATGGTTAACCAGCATATAATATTAGCTGACTATCTACAAAAATTTTATAAGACTAAAGACCATCCTTATTAAGTGTTTTGCACAGATAACACTAAGTACACAAACCAGATATCTTTAGTGATGAAAAATGTGTAACGTGAAAATTTCAGATGTAGGTACAATAGTATCCAAAGAATAATAATTTTTAGCTAGATTCATCCATAAAATGGAAGAAAGCTGTGAAAGTCTAGTCTAACACTAAGCAACTTCGGTTAAAGAATAAGGTCACCAGAGATAAAAATATGAAAAAGAATATATAATAATTACCCTTCACGGCCAGCCATGCAATGGAAATAATATTCTTGGGGGCGAAGACCACTAAGGAAACGATCGCTGATAAAACCCCCAGCTCTAGGCGACCAGTCCCATGGATGGAAACATGGCAATGTCTTTCCAGAAACCATACGAGGAACCCTTTTTCCTTCTAAATCTTGCTGGCCCAAGTGTGAAGAGATTTGCTGGAAGTTAACCTGCTCAGAATAGACAACACAAGAAGTTTATACAGCTTAACCTCCAAATATGCATAAGAACCAACCATGAGATGGCAAAGAAAGTTCTAAAAACAGCAAATCATCCATAAGATGAACGCCTTCTGGCATGCAAGCCATTCACATAACCCATATTCATGAAGGGCACAAGAAGCACACCTTACTGCCCTTAGCCCCAGATATTGTCATCAGAGATATACAGTTCTTTCCAGTGGATTTCAACAGCCCGTCTGAGAGTAAATCATTCATCACACCCTTGCTAGTACACTGGTTGAGCTCATTCACTATGCTCCTATCCAAAGATAATAACGCAGCTTCCCCATCACTGCAAATAATTCTTTCAACTCTGGATTTCAAGTCCTTGGGATCTGCAAGCAAACAAGATAATTTTTTTGAATGACTTCACATTTAGTTGATCTGACAAACTACAGGTAAATGCCTCGTAGAATAAAGCAGAACACCTTTTCTGAAGTAAGGAATGCACAAACATAAACAAAGATACATGCATACACAAACACGTGCACATGAGGCGAAAAGTTTGATGCAATACCTATCTGAACATCGTTCCCAATGCCAATGGCCTTGCGAAGTACTCTTTCACCAACTAGTTCAGATTCTTCAAGTTGTTTCATCCTCTTATCATCCATATCTTTGTTTATGATAAGATCATCAACTCCACAGGTAAAACCATGCATCTGAATGATTCAACATCAGAAATTAGCTACAAAAGAGTAAAAAAATGATAAAAGGGATATTTCATTAGCTTAAGGAGAACAAACCTGAAGATAGACAGTGAACAGACGACTTAAGACTGAAAGCAGATTTCCTGCAGCATTTGAGCCATATAGTTCTTGAACTATATGAACCAATCCATAGTCGGCAAATTGAGCCTTGTCAATCACACCTCGGACAAAATCATTTTTATTGATAAGCAGCTTGTCTTCGTCAAGCTCCCGCTTCCATGATTCATCATTATCGTTCTTTTTGCTCGAGTGCTTCCTAACGTTGTTCTCTTTGCTCTTCGAATTTGCTTCCCTTGATCTAATCTTAAAGAAATCAAGTGGCAGTTTTGTAGCTTTCTCTACAGTGAATGGTGGTTGGCCCTTTGTTATATGGTTCAACACTGCAGTGATGACCTAGAAGACAAATATACCAAAAAAGATTGGCTCACATGGAAGAAAAGGAATTTTCAGAGATTGTTTCTTGGAAATGAGCATAAAAAACCCATAAATCCCAAAGTACATTTTTAACACCACCAAGCATATAGTGAATGATTGCTTAAAGAACCAACAAAAGAAACAGATATGGACACAACACGGAGGCAAATTTCATGATTACCTGCTTTCCAGTCCAAAGAGGAACAGGTTTCAAAATAGCAGGCTCAACTGCCAAAAGCTCTGCATCAGAAGCTGATACTATCACTTTCTTTCCAGGTTTTCCAGAAAAGGAACTGAGTACCATGTCAGACACGCCAGAACTGAAGAGAAGCTGATCGAACTGATCTTTGTCCAAAAATGTGTCCCTCTTGGTGAGAAGTACAGCACTTACAACATGATCCTGCAAAGTCAAATAATGTCTATAAACATCACAGAAACACAAGACTGGCCAACACACGAGTGATCAGGACACAGAAATGTTTAAAGAAATGATGTGGGATAACCTGGATTAAGGCACGAAGTGGATCACCGTTAGAAGGCCTGACATATTGGTTGTTCGCATTGACAATGTTGTAAGCCTCTGCACGTGAAATCTCATCTTGCGGAAAATGCACATTCATCTCATCACCATCAAAATCGGCATTGTATGTGCTGGAAAATTCAAACCAAAGTAAATTTAGAGACATCATGGACATAGATGAGAGAGAGAGAGAGAGAAGGAGAGGGTAAGCTAAGGGAGGCAGACAGAACTTTCCATATGCATAATGGTACAAACCTGCAATTTGCATAGTGGAGTCGAAGTGTTTTCTCTCCCTTCAGGACACGGACTTTGTGCGCCATTATGCTAGGTTTATGTAATGTAGGCTGCCACAACATAAAAGCTTATATAACAAAATGACAAGGACAAACAGAGAAAGTACAACCAAAATGTAGAAAGGCTGAAAAACAGGACAATTCCTAACTCCGATTGAGGAAAATAATCAACAAGTGAACAAAACAATTATTGAATTTGGGTAAACAACCTCATAAATCAGTAGCTATAAAGTATCAATGATATAGAAAACGAAATACTAATTTGTTTAAGCAAAAGACAGATTTAGGATCTTCACAAACCTGACGATTCACAAGGACGGCGTCTCCATCTTGCATGTGTCGATAGACAATTTTGCCTTCAAAGTTTATATCGCAAGCCTTCTCAGGCTCCATATGTGTCCCTCGTGAAGACAATAATTTTCTGGCCAATGCTATTCGTGCTTTCCGTGTAGGAGGCAGCTTCACCGTGGATAACCTATCAGAGTAATGTGTTGCTCCAGGATGAATGTCAGGACCATTAATGATGGCCTCCCTTAACTTTTCAACATTCCAGGGAGTCACTCTCTGCAGCAATACAGCAATGTCAACTACCGTGGATATCGAAAAAATACAGTTAAGCCACAAGTAGACTTGAAGACTGAATACTATAGTTAAAGTCTAGCCATCTCCGATAAAAACAATGATGAAAAGATGATGAAAAACCAGGGAGTAGGTCAACGATATGAAGAGAGTCTAAGACAAGCACCAAGAAAAAGAGATATTGCGTGTTACAGATAACAGCATCACAAGCACAAGAAATTGGTTCAAAGTTTAAAGTTTTACAGTGGAAGTATTATTGATCAATACAGGCAAAGAATGATCAGTAGTCCATGTCCTTAACAAGACACCACATTTTCAGTGATATGAATCTGTACCTCAGGATATGTCAACTTCAATGCAAAATATGGTGGAATTCCAATCTCATTAACGGCAATATAAGGATCCGGGGATATAACAGATCTACAGGCATGATTTACTCTCTTTCCCATCATTTTTTGCCGAAACAGACCCTCTTTCTTCTCCAGTAATTGGCATATGCCTGAAGCTTCTCTCTGGCTTCGAGCTATCAATGAAGATAATAGAAGATTAAAACATCAGTTTAGACCAAAAGAACATGCTGTAGCTGAAGATTGTCAAGAGATGGGTAATAGACAGAGAGATGAAATCATGTCAGACAGTTTACACAAGTCATAGCAAGTAACATCTTCAACGAACTATTTCACGAATCACAATAGATGCATATGAACAAAAGAAAGCACTAGAAGCCCACCTGTGGCGGTCTTGCTATCAAACAGAACATTAATTGATTGTTGAAGATCCATCCACCGTCTAATTTTCTTTGACTTCTCTAACTTATTAAAATAGGCATTCCCAAGGGATATATTAGATTCTAAAACCGTAGTCAGGGCTACGGTCTGAGGGTGTTCCATAACCTGTAAGAAACAAAATGTAAACAACATTCAGTCACATAGTAAGTTTGCAAGAATAGCAAAAACCATAACAGCATGAGTCTTATATTTCCATAAAATCCTAGTTGTATATGATTTATATATATACACACACACATATATTTTACAGAGGAAAAGGAAAAATTAAAGAAGAAAAGAAGAAAGAGCAGTGACCAACAGAAGCAACACCAAAAAATTTCCCAAATGAACAGAAGAACTAAGAGGAAAATAGAACAAACAGAAAAAGTATACATCATAACAGATCACTCACACTGGCACCCCCTTTTGTTGGGGCTCGAAATTTAATCGGAGGCACGAGAATGCTCTCCAGAAAGAACATATTGTGGTCAACTTTTTTGGATCCACACTGCTGAAGATCACCAATGAACGAGCAAAATTCGAACTCATTTTGCCACAAATCTTTTAAGATCTCCTTAACCTGAAACAAATACGATGGAGAAAAGCAATTATGAATAAGTGTCTCCAGCGAGGACTTGAGATATAGTCAATTGCATCACAAGGATACCTCAGTAGGCAAAAGATGACTCGTTGAAAAGTTCTTGTGCTTTACAAACTCGTTAACTACTTTAGCAGAATCTTCAGCTTCAGATACTGCATCAATGCCATCGTTTTCATCGTTATCAAGATCCTCCACAGTGCTAGATGGCTTCCTCACCTTGAGCCCTTGAATTATATTAGCTCCAATCGCTGAACCTGTCATACCAGCCTGCGTAAAAGCATTTCGTGAAGAAAAGTAACATAGATTAAGACGTGACCCTGATCCAGAAAACCCGCAGATATATATGCCAAACAATTTACGAGTATAACACATAAAATTATAAAGTCAATCAGAAGAGGGATCGTGCTGCACACCAAGATATACAACAGAGGCTCTGAGATAATAAGTTTTTTGCTAACTACGGTTTGGAAACACATCCAAATGAAGTTTGGAATCCACTGAATTTAAACAGAAATTGTAAGCATTAAATAACCATCAAAGTTATTTTTCAGTGAAAAAAATAAGAGAAAAGTAGTTGAATCTATTCAAAAGAAATTAGGAGAACAAGAAAATCAAGGGCATAATGACAGTAATGGCACTTGACTTAATAAGCTTACTAAACTCCAAACACTTCTCACACACCAAATTTCAGATCCTAAATTAGGATTGAAAGGAATTATTTAAGAACTAAAGGTCCTATTAACCAAATCAACTGATTTCCCATTTAAACAAACTTTAAAGTATATATAGAGTTCAGAGGACATACCCTGTGAAACCATCCGAATGTAGGCTTCCGCACTTTAGGATTTTTTGCTTTGCAACGTTTACATTTTTCTGTTTTTAACTTCAGAAAAGCATTCAAAACAGCAGTAGCTTCAGAGAACTGAAGAGAAGTCCATCTCTGCTTTGGCGTGCCAGGGTCTCTGCATTTTTCTGATGAATCAATGTCTAAACCAAATTCATAGCTCATGTCACTATGCTCTGAATGAGTGGACTCTCTCCCTGATTCAGAATCGGACCACCTAGCAAACTTCGAGTCAGAATTCAACAGCCTAGCTTCGACTACATCCCCTTTTATGATGAGGTTCAGTTGGGAAACAACTCTCTCAACCTTTTACATGGATACAAGAGGGAGAGAAAGCAACAGGAAAAACAAAATCAGCAAGAGTGTTACATGAGACACATTATATCCAATTTCTTTTTTTTTTATAGATGTTACCTCCTGCGTCCGTATCCTAAAGTGACGGCAAAAGAAACAGGTCATCTGGAGAAGGCTGTGAAGAAAGTGGAACAGCAAAGGATGATAAACAGGAGACACAAGCTCGATATGCCCACAATGTCCTGGGCAGCTAAGTCTGAGCAGACCACATGATTTACAGCTGCAATTCAAAGAGTGGGAAGAGCACAGAATAAGCAAGTGGAAAAACCAAAAGGAAAAGAGAAAAGATCAAAACTTATGAAACAACAAACTGCATTATCCGACACCCAAAACATTGACTGGTGAGATAAACCCTAGACGTCCCTAAAACATCTTCCTAACCTAGTCAACGACCCAACCCAGAAAAAAAAAAAGAGATTTTTTTTTGTAATTCGAATATACTTACGGTGTCCTGTCATCTAAAGGACCCAATATAGGATCGTAAAGACCACCTGGTACAGGTCTCTCCACGTTATCGAGCAAAATAGGGCTCGTAACTTTGAGAAAACTATGCTTTCGGACTTCTTCATCTGTCATGAAACTGAACTTAACAGCCTCAACCACTTGAGTGGCTCCCTGGAAACAAAACGTCTATCAGATACAAGAACACAGAAAATCCAAATTCGGGGAGGAAATCGAGGGAAAATCGCAACTCGGCAGAAACACAAACAGGAAGAAATCAAGGGTCGTTTCGGACAAACCTCTGTTGATTGAGATTGAGCCATTATAGGTTGATGAAGATCGAAGAGCGATCGGTGACGGCGGTCGAACTACGGCGGTCGAACTACGGCGGTCGAATTGTGGACGTCTCGGCCGAGAAGCTCCTTGGGGGGGGTTTGGAGAGTCTAGTAGGGTTTTAAAGACGAATTTATTTTTTTTGTTGGCTATATCGGTTGTATATTTTTTTCCCCAGCTTTTTCTTTCCTTTTCTTTTTTTTCTTCTTTTTAAAAAAAAAATTATTTTCCGATGCAAATTGGGTTTTAAAACAAGGTGCAAACCCTTGTGAATAACGAATTAAAAAAATTCAATATATATAAGTATACCGAATGTATATAAATATATTTAGGTTAAAATCACCGAAGAAAAATATAAGTGAATAAATGTATTTTTAGGTCAAACATATAAGCAAATATATTTACGTCAAAATAACCGAAGAAACATATAAGAATTAAAAATTCAATATATATATATATATATAAATGTATATAAATATATTTAGGTTAAAATCATCGATAAATGAATAACGAATTAGTTAGCTTAATAATTGAATCGAATTGATTCTGATCAGTCATTCCATTTTTAGTCTATCTTATTATTATACAGAACCAAATTATTATTATTATTATTAAATTGAACGTGTATATATATATACATAGATGATTTAATTATCATTATGTCCAATTCAACGTCCAAACAAGAGTTTCAAGTGTGAAAATTTTTATAGGTTTCAGAAAAATTGGATGAAATCGTGATTAAATAATTTTATGGGTTTTAGATTAAAAAGAAAAAAATCAGCAGAAAAACTTTGTACTCTAGATTAAGGAAAAAATCATATACTTTTTTTTTTTTATTACCGATTAAACACTGTATTTGTATGTGTTTTTTGAAAATGGATGAAATCGCGATTAAAATAAGTTTAGAATATCTATATACTGTTATGCTATAAGTTTAGATCATTATCACTCTCTTCTTCTCCTATAGTTTTTATAAAAAAATATGCGTTAATAATAAGGTAAATTCTACTAAAATTCATAAACTTATAAATTGGTGAAAAACCAATTCCTTGATAAATTAATTCCCAATCTCGTAAAATATATGATTATAATTTTAAAATTTGTAAAATATGTCATTTTAATTGGTAAACGAATTTGCGGGTTACTCTCGTAAAATAGAATTCTTTCATCAATTAAAAAAAATTATAATAACATATTTTACAATTTTGATAATAAATTTATCAGACGAGAAGTGCTTAATAGAATTTTAATGGAATGTTGTTAAGGGAGTATATGGGCCTATCAAAACGAATATGGGCTCATGGTTTTGTGGAATCCTTCTTTAACCCGGCCCATTGTACAAGCATTGCTGACGTAAGATCCCGCCCGATCCATCAGTTCGGTTTTGATCATTGACTTTTTTACAGTGTGCGTTGACTTCCAGCGATTCAAAATCAACACTGTAAAATCCATAAAACAAATTGCATCACTCTCGTAAATCATAATTATCACTATTCACAGAAGGTTTCTCAAGTTAAAAAACAACTGGATAAAATAACAAAAAAATTAAAATCATTAAGTTATTTTCTAAACTCATGGCCAATTACTGGGGGACACGTGTGAGTATAACTATAACCACGAGATTAGAATTACGATCACTATGAGTTGGCATAGTCTTGGAAATCAGATATATAATTTAAAATTTAAATAATTATATATATATATATATATATATTCGCTGTCACCGACAAAATTTAGGATTTATTATACCCTGATTTCTCAATCCCTGACTTTAAAATTCATGTTAGAGGAAGAGCTGCTATTTGATGGAATGCATAAAGGGAAAAAATAAATAAATAAATAAATAACTAAATTTCTTTCTAAATAAATATAATTAGGATTAGACTCAGTTTTTTCCAAAACAATGACAGAGTTAAATTTAGTTGGAAATAAATAATAAATAAATAAAATCAAATTTTATTATGATTTAGAGACATTTTTTTCCTATTAGAGTTCATATGCGTGTGAGATTAGATTCTCTTGTTTTTTTTTTCTTTAAGAAAGAAAAAACACAGTTGCTCCGCGACCAGAGACGCGGTCACAAACCCTAAAGAGTAAAACCCTTTTGTCTTATTCGTCTTCTGTTGTGTCCGTGACGATGACTCTCTCTTCTCTCTCCCTCGACTTCAACCCTATTCGGACGTCTAGGTTCGCCGCCGGCGGCGATCTCCACCGCTCACCGTTTCTCCACCACCGTCCGAGCTTCATCGTCTGCTCCGCTTCCAGGCGGATCGTTCCTTCCGCGTCCTTGAGCGTCGCCGCCGCCGACTCTGCCGCCGCCGAGTCGCTCCGACGAATCGAGTCACTGAGTCAAGTCTCTGGCGTTTTGGGCTGCCAGTGGGGCGACGAGGGTAAAGGAAAGCTCGTCGATATATTGGCCGAGCATTTCGACATCGTTGCTCGATGTCAGGTACTTGTTCGAGCCTTGTATATCTCATATTCTCTTGATCGCGCATATGAATTGGACTCCTCGATTGTCTGGTTTGTTTGGTAATTACTAGTTCGTGGCAATCATAAATCCGAGGTTCGAGACTGTCTGAATCGAATTTGCTGATTGACCCAGATGAGTAAACTGCAGTTTACACAGTTATTTAGTTCTGTTCTTGACAACTCATGTTATCTTAGGACATAACATATCAGAAGGGTGGGATTGTGTCAGCATGGGTTGGAGAATATCATTACTGTGTTTTCAGATCTTCTCTGTTCGGCCCTTTTTACTGTGATTTCGATTGGTGAGGTCCTTTCTTCTGAAAACGTGTTTTGAATTCTGTTACCACAGGGTGGAGCTAATGCAGGACACACTATATATAACGCGGAGGGGAAGAAATTCGCTCTTCACCTCGTGCCTTCGGGCATCCTGAACGAGGACACCATTTGCGTGATTGGAAACGGAGTGGTGGTGCATTTGCCGGGCCTCTTCAAGGAGATTGACGGGTTGGAATCCAATGGAGTTTCCTGTGAAGGAAGGATCTTGGTCTCGGACCGAGCTCACTTGCTATTCGATTTCCATCAAGAGATCGATGGACTCAGAGAATCCGAGCTCGCTAAGTCGTTCATCGGTACAACCAAGAGGGGAATCGGCCCTTGCTACTCTAGCAAAGTGATAAGGAATGGCATCAGAGTAGGCGATCTCAGGCATATGGATACTTTCCCTCAGAAGCTCGACGTTTTATTGTCGGATGCAGCCTCGAGGTTTCCGGGATTCAAATACACTCCGGAGATGCTACAGGAAGAAGTCGAAGCATACAAGCGATATGCCGAGAGACTGGAGCCCTTCATAACCGACACTGTCCATTTCATGAATGACTCGATTTCTCAGAAGAAAAAGATTTTGGTCGAAGGTGGTCAGGCTACGATGCTGGATATCGACTTTGGTACATACCCTTTCGTTACTTCCTCGAGTCCTTCGGCTGGCGGGATCTGCACCGGTCTTGGCATCGCTCCAAGGGTTGTCGGTGATCTTGTCGGAGTGGTAAATACATCTGATCTATGCTTGTTCTAAAGTTTACCAATGCTTCTTATTGTGCAAATGTCGATCATAATACCTTTTTTGTTATGTCCAGAAATGAATGAGCAGCCTTTATGCTGAAATGGATATTCATTCTTGGATTGATCTATTGGCAGGTAAAGGCATACACCACAAGAGTTGGTTCGGGTCCGTTCCCGACGGAAATTTTGGGGCAAGGCGGTGACCTCCTTCGGCTAGCGGGACAGGAGTTCGGCACCACGACTGGTCGCCCTCGTCGGTGCGGCTGGCTTGACATCGTCGCCTTGAGATACTGCTGCCAAATCAATGGATTCGCCTCTCTTAACCTCACAAAACTCGACGTGCTCTCGGATCTTTCAGAAATTCAGCTCGGTGTTGCGTATAAGCGGAGTGACGGGACTCACCTCGAATCATTCCCTGGTGATCTCCGTCTTCTCGAGGATTTACAAGTAAGTCTAAGTTTTTAGTACATAATATCCTGGCTCAGTTGAAAAATAATGTATCCCGATCCGCGGGTACCAACTCCTACCTGAACCCGAACTTCGAGTATGTCAATCTATTATACCTGAACTCAACTCTACCATGCCCGAGTATCCGAAATTTTTTAACTCCTACGAAATCGGGGCATCTCAATCCATTATACCCGAACTCAGCTCTAACCTGTCCGGGTATCCGAAATTTCGGGTACGCGACCGCCTGGACCCGAAATTCAGGTATCTCAATCTATTATACCGGATCGCAACTCTAACATGTCCGGAATCTCGGGGGGTTTTCACCAGCCCCTAAAAGAAATACATGTGATGATGTTTTCAGGTGGAGTACGAAGTATTACCTGGATGGAAATCTGACATTTCTTCCGTAAGAAGTTACAGCGATCTTCCAAAGGCGGCGCGGCAATACGTGGAGAGGGTCGAAGAACTGGTCGGGGTGCCCGTTCATTACATCGGGGTGGGGCCTGGCCGGGACGCTCTCATATTCAAGTGAACCCTCTCTGTTTTCATTGGTAAAACCATATATAATAAGCGACTGCCTCATTGTTTCGAGATATTGGGAAGTAGCGATTAGGCTTCTGGATTTTTCAAGTGCATTGGGCTGTTGAAGTTGTAGTCTTCATAAACTTCTCTTCATTCGGTGAATTATTTTTTTATAAAAATTCTTAAATTTATTAAAAGTATAATGTTTTAGTATAATATAAAAAAGCTCAAATATCGGTGAAACCTTCTGCAATAATCGGCTATCAACGTGGGTAATCCACCGGATCAGAGATGACAAAGTCATGGTCCTGGATTCGATTCTACTAGTGGAGAGGGATGTAATTTCTAGACAAAAATAGTCCATAAAGGTTGATTCTAGATTTAGGATGGATATATTCATGCCAAAGATTCGGTAACCATTGTAGTTATAAAAAAAGAAAGTTTTCTCCTTATCCCTTGGAACCAAATCGTGCTTATTAGGAATGTCCTTCTAACAACTTTTTTAAAAAAAAAAAATTTAAAGACCCAAAAGATGTATTTTTTTTTCTCAAATTCTGGAAATTGAAATTGTCTTTTTTTTTTAAATCAATCGAGCTCCTTCCGGTGGGAATGAATAAAAGGAACCGTAGGTTTAAAACCAAATTAATGCAAAGCATTGACTTTTGTTTTGGCTAATTAGACACGTGTATGTGCCACGTGGTATTTAGATGGTCCACGACCAAATACATGGGTTTATGACACGTGGAGACCGGGAGGTTTGACCAAGCAGACTTGGGGAAAGATTTTTAATTAAACTTCCGCTTGTGTTTCGTTGTTCGTTTACTTGGTCTGAGCGTTGACCGACAGGTTTATTTGTTTATCGCAGTCACCACTTTGGAATGTTCTCATTTTCCAATTTTGGCAATATTATATACTCTTGCGACTGTCATCTTAAATGGGTTTTGGACTCATCGTGGCTGCTAGGACTTATATTGTAATAAAAAATAATAATAATTACACGTAACCCATGATGTCAAATGTTATGTAATTATGCATTTTTTGAGGTGTCTAGTGGAATAAAAAAATTTTCATTATCCAAATTAATTTTATACAGAGTGTATGCACAACGCTCACATGCATGTTATATATATGTACGTGTCAAATATTTATGTAAATATTTTGCGTGTGCGTGAATTGTTGTTTTCAACTTAGCTTTTAGCCATGGACAACATAGATATTCACTCGTTATATATATAGATAGATAATTCAAAAAGATCAATTATATCTTTCAAAAGATCGAAAAATTCTTTTCTAAATAGAGATTCGAATCTAGATTGGATAGAATATTTGTTCTATTCCTTACCACTTGAGCAATCCAATATTAAGTTCGTTATATACTTCTACAAAATTTATTGCTAGGATTAATCGCATAAATAACAATGATTTAGGTCTATGTCAATTAAAAGAAACTAAAAATAAAAAATAGTAAATGAAAAAAGTTTTGTCCGGGGAATTTCTACTCCCTCGGTTATATTTATATATCGTTTAAGATTACTTTTTTTTATTTTAAAACAAATTACGTTTTTCTATTTCCAATATATTTTTTAATATATTTTTCAAATTTACCCATTATTAATAATAATTAAATATTCTATATGTATAATATATTCTATCATTAATAAAAACAATTAATAAGGATATTTTAGATAAACTCTTTTAATATGTGTGTTTATCGTTTGCAGTCAACATCGCCGGGTTTGACTTGACAACTTATTAGATGGAGTATTTTATTTCCTTTTCATTTTTATTTCTTTCGTCCCATTTTGTTTGGCTGTGGATTATTAAGTTCATTAACCTGTCCCATTATTTTAAAATTTATTAATTTGATTTGAAAATTTTATATTTAAATAATTTTCAAAATTAAATTACAAATGGAGAGACCCACAACGTGACAGGGACTCGCTTTTTTGGGTTTCTCTCGGTCCCAGATCCAGGAATGTCTCAAAAGCCCATAGTGGATGGATACTGCTCCCAAAATTAATCGTTGGTGCATATATATATATATATGTGCCAAATTTACCAAAACGACCCTGCATGTATTCAAGCGGATTGTAGTAAATCGAATATCATATTTCTAAAGAGAGAAAAGTAAAAGTTCGTTGAGAATTAGATTTTCAAGTATTAAAATAAAATCTCAATAGGTTCAATTTAATAGAAAATGAAGATAACGGATAAGGGGAATGTGTAAGTTATTCTATTTTGGATTTTAATGATTTTATTTGGATAATTATGTGTAAATTATCCTGAAAATAAGAAAAAATGTTGTCGGAATGAGGAAAATAATTACAGGGAGAAGAAAATCTGGATTTTAATGATTTTAGTGATTTTTGTTTTCACGTTGAGAAGCAGACGAACAATTGTTTTTTTTTTAATCGAGGTATTCATGTTGGTTTGCTCCATCTTCGTCTTCGCCTTCGCACGTTGAATTTCCTACCACCACCACCTTCTTCACCTTCCTCTTCTTCTCCTATATAATTCTCCAGAGTTCTTTTCCAAGTCGTACGATCCTCTTATTGGTTTTCCCTTTTTAGGGTTTTTCCAGGTTTTTACCTTTTTCCCGGGAAAATCAGATTCGTGAATTTCGTTGATCTCGCGGAGCTGCGAGGATTTCATCCAGCTTCGTGTTCGGTCTCCTGGGAATTTTTAAATTGATCGGTCGATTGCTCGATCGCGGTTGATCCCATGGGGAATTGCTGCGGAACACCGAATTCGTTGGCTCAGCACGAGAAGAAGAAAGGGAGGAACAAGCCGAACCCTTTCTCCATCGATTACGGCCTCCACCACGGCGGAGGAGCGGGCCATAAGCTCGTCGTCCTGAAGGAGCCGACCGGTCGCGAGATCGGTCTGAAATACACGCTGGGTCGCGAGCTCGGTCGCGGCGAGTTCGGGGTCACCTACCTTTGTACGGACAAAGAAACTGGCGTGAACTTTGCTTGCAAGTCGATCCTGAAGAAGAAACTGAGAACGGCGGTGGACATTGAGGATGTCCGGAGAGAAGTGGAGATCATGAAGCATTTACCTGAACATCCCAACATCGTAAGCTTGAAGGAGACATACGAGGATGCCAATGCTGTTCATCTGGTGATGGAGCTCTGCGAAGGAGGGGAGCTGTTCGACAGGATCGTCGCGAAAGGGCATTACACGGAGAGAGCTGCCGCTTCGGTGACGAAAACCATCGTGGAAGTTGTTCAGGTTCGTGCCCTTTTGATGTTCTTTGTTCTTGTCGTGAAGACTTGCGTTGTAGGAGACGATGCTAGTCACCATTGCAGGTTTTAGTACATTTCTGTCTGGTTTGTGTTCTCAGGAACAGAGAAAGAAGTTGACTTGATTCATGATGTGAGATTGATGATTGTTTGCAGATGTGTCATAAACATGGTGTAATGCACAGAGACTTGAAACCAGAGAACTTCTTGTTTGCCGACAAGAAGGAAACTGCTCCTCTTAAGGCCATCGATTTCGGTCTTTCGGTTTTCTTTAAACCAGGTAATGTGGTTTGGTGTTCAATGAAGCTCTCACCCTTCTTGCTCTGTTGTTTTGTCAGAATGGAACCAATCTGAAATTTCCCCCCGTTTTCTTTTTCTGTTCTTGCCAGGTGAGAGGTTTAACGAAATAGTCGGAAGTCCTTACTACATGGCTCCGGAGGTTCTAAAACGGGATTACGGACCAGAAGTCGACATTTGGAGCGCTGGTGTAATTCTTTACATACTGCTTTGCGGTGTCCCGCCTTTCTGGGCAGGTTAGTTTTATTTCACACATCGTATAACCGTCAAAGGACATAATTTTCTCGATGAGTTTGAGGGTGTACCACCCGACAGACTTCCGGGCATATGTAAAAAGGTACTGATACTTCTGCTTTGTATGAACGACCTTTGCAGAAACCGAGCAAGGAGTAGCACAAGCAATTATCCGGTCTGTATTGGATTTCAGAAGGGATCCATGGCCCAAAATCTCCCAGAACGCAAAAGACCTCGTCAGGAAGATGCTTGATCCTGATCCAAAACGCCGTCTCACAGCTCATCAAGTGCTCGGTAAATCTTATATATCTTCAGTTCCGATGCAATGTCTGTGTTCTGTCCTAAAAGAAAGTATATGTCAAGAGTAGTAATCTTCTGACAAAAACCGTAATCATGTCCTGGGCGGCCAGATCATCCATGGTTACAGAATGCCAAGAAAGCTCCCAATGTTTCATTGGGAGAAACCGTGAGGGCGAGGCTGAAGCAATTCTCTGTTATGAATAAGCTCAAGAAAAGAGCTCTCAGGGTAATAACTAAAAACCAACTTAATGCTTTCACTTTGTATTTGTCGGAACCACTGAAAAGATTCCTCTGCAGGTCATTGCTGAGCATCTATCTGTAGAGGAAGCCTCTGGTATAAAAGAAGGGTTCCAAGTTATGGACACAAACCAGAGAGGGAAGATCAATATCGACGAGTTGAGATTAGGGTTGCAGAAACTCGGACATAACGTCTCAGAAGACGACCTACAAATCTTGATGGAAGCTGTAAGTTAAGTTCTGTCTCGGATATATAACAGTGGATATATATATATATATATATATATATAGGCGGAGTGATGCTGTTTTTTGGCAGGGGGATGTGGACAAGGATGGATATTTGGATTGCAATGAATTTGTAGCCATATCAGTGCACCTAAGGAAGATGGGAAATGACGTGCACCTCAAGAAAGCGTTTGAATTCTTTGATCGGGACAGAAGTGGGTTTATCGAGATCGAGGAGTTGAGGGATGCTCTGTCCGATGAAGTTGACTCGACCGAAGAAGTCGTCGATGCCATTATTCGCGACGTTGACACCGACAAGGTCAGTCACTTTTTCATTCTACTATCCTCTCGTTTCCTTCACATTTATGAAAGCAGGAACCTTTTCGGTTGTGGGTTCCCGAATCGCGGATATCCGGAATTCGGGAATCCAACTGTGGGTGAGAATTCGAGTTTGGGTCTTTCTCGGGCAAGAACCCGAGCTATGGATTCGAGTATAGGTTTTGCAAGTGCCGAGGGTTTAGGAACCCGAGCTAGGGGAGATAGAGTTCGTCTGCAGACGGGGCGGGCGTGAGGTACTGAGAGTGAGACAACATGAATGGCGACAAGGGCGACCTGGGAGAAGGCGATTTCGAGCGGTAGGCCACTGGGAGAGCGAGAGGCGGGCGTTAGAGTTTTGAGAGGGCGATTTGGGGTATATTACCCAAAAAAGTTTTATGGTTTCGAACTCAAGAGACGGTAGGAGAGTGATTTTCGGTTCGCCACTCCCCTCACCAGCTGTGTCGACCCCGTCATCTGGACACATCTCGGGTACCCGACCATCACGAGGACGAGAACGAGTAATCTTGTTCAAGAAATCTGAGTGTTCCGAGGTCGGATGACCCAAAAATCTAGGATACCCGTCCACGCAGTGTAGAGTCTAAATTGGCAGCATCCCGAGTCCAAGAAAACAAATTCTAAACGCATTGCAATTTCTACAGGACGGAAGAATAAGTTACGAGGAATTCGCGGCGATGATGAAAGCGGGAACGGATTGGAGAAAAGCGTCGAGGCAGTACTCGAGGGAACGATTCAACAACCTCAGTCTTAATCTTATGCGAGACGGCTCGTTTCAGTTCAACAACGACGGTCCAAGATGAGACCTACAAAAGAAAATCAAAGTGACAAAACAAAAAAATATATTTTTTTCCTTTGCCATTACGTGTTAGTTTAGGGAGTATATGCACCATATATATGTATTTGTAAAATAAAGACAGAATATTCTTTCCAAGTTTTTAGGAAAAATAATTTTGTAAAAACTTGAATGTTGTTTTTTTTTTTTTTTGGATTCTAAAAACTCTAAAAACTTCCACCATTCAAGGTCTAAGTTTAGTTTTTATTTTAGTTTTTAGTTTTTAGTTTTTGGTTTTTGATTTTTTGATTTTATAATTTTGTAAATCTAAAAAAATTATGCCTTTTGATTTTTAGTTGATTTTTTCAATAAAATAAATTTTCAGATTTTTAAAAAAAGTTAAATTTTAAAAAATTTAATTATCGGTTTTTTGAATTTTTAAAATTCAAAAACTGCATAAAACTTTTTTCCATTCGACACCTTAGTTTACACGGCCGTCAGTTTTCACTTCCGTGACGTCATCCACAAACGAGTCTAGGCGGGAATTACACCCATTGGCCTGTCGGAGTTACAGATGCTTATGATTCATGAATCACCTGAGCCACGTGCACATCACGTGACCACGGTTAGATCGCTAACGGCGTTTAACGGTGCAGCAAACGGAGGTGGTGTTGTTGGGGACATAATGATAAAGATGATTTTCTATGTTTTTTTATATAAGGTAATGACAATGATATGTGTAGTTGTAGATTTATGATTTATGCCGTTGTGTGTGCTTTATTTTCACCATATTATTCGCTGGCAAATAAAATAAATAAATAACAAATATTTTTAAATGTACAATTTTTGATATCATCTGACGGCTGAGATTTCTCCTGTAACAATATTAAAAAAATAAAACAAAATAAATATAACAACGTAACGGCACAAAGTTGGAACCCCCGCGTCGTGCCGTTGAGACATATTTAATTAGGGGAAAAAGCAAATCATAGCTGGATTTTCTGAGAGAGAGAGAGAGAAGAGAGGAATTTGAAAATTTTCCGGTGTGTTGGCGTGGATCGATTTTCGCGAGGGTTGTTCATGTTCTTCACGTTCTAGAGGAATTTCCAGCCTCTGGTTCGCTCATTCATGCTGTAATCCGAGGTAAACTTCTGTTTGTTGTTGACAATGTGTTTTGGGGAGCGATCGGTTCGTTGCTTTTCTTCAGCATTGCATTGATTTCTTCGGAGCCTGAATCAATTTGGTTGTGATTCGTCGGGAAACGATGGTTTTATACTTGTTGCGGATTCTGTTCCGCGGGTTCTGAATCGTCGAATTCTGGATACGATGAAATGGGTTCTGTGTGATCAATTGCAATATTCTCGGGCGGAAGTTCATTGGCTGAAAGTGATTCCGCAATTTTTTTTTTATCTGTTTCAGGCTGGTATTCGAGTTTAAGGGAGTTGAAGGGAGCTGCCTTTGATTCTCGAGCTCTGTTTTCCTTCTTGCCCGAGGAAGCTCTAGGGCTTTTCGGTGGATTGGGAAGGAAACGTGAGCTGAAAAAAAAGTTCATAGGAACTGAGGGTTGTATTGATCAGTGGTTGTTGGTTAGAATCCTGATTGAAGAATGAGCGCGGTCTCAGGCGTAATCTCTAGGCAACTTTTGCCGGCTTGTGGTGACCTCTGCATATTTTGTCCAGCACTGCGAGCAAGGTCCAGGCAGCCCGTGAAGAGGTACAAGAAGCTGATTGCTGAAATATTCCCCCGTAATCAGGTTAGTAGATTCACCATTTCCCCTTCTCTTTTCTCTTGGGTCAGACATGCTTTCTTGTCGTCTATATAGTTTGGATGGTTGCTTTCCTTATTGTTTCTATATGTTAAGACACTACCTCGGATCTATGGCTTATGCATATTGGTCATAATGGCAGGCTTTGGTTTCATTGTGTTTGTTATTGAAAGCCTAAAGGCTTTAAGAGCAGCCACTCTTTGGCTGCAGTAGTATTTGGAAGATGATCTGTTTCATGTATTACAACAAAATACTCGTCTTTTTCAGTCTTTCATGTAGTTCCATTTTCCTCGTAAAGTATGTGGATCTGAATCGTTTCTTTTTAGGCACACTGATTTATATGTCGTTGTTCCATGATTTATGCGTGTATATTATGTACTATAACAGCAGAAAGAGCTTTCTTCTTAGCTATATCAGAGTTTTGGCTTCAATTCTGTTACGACTCAATGCTTAATATTTCTAGCAGGCGGAAGGTCCAAATGACCGGAAAATTGGAAAACTCTGCGAATATGCTGCCAAGAATCCTTTGCGCATGCCAAAGGTAAAATCTATCTGATGGAAAGCCTAGGGGTGATAAACTTTTGAAAGTCTCATGTTAGACTAATTAAATCAAGGTTGCTTTCTCTTAATTGTTATGTTCTTCTTGTCTGTCGATTGGGATGTTAGCAACCACTTGAAATGTTTATGTATTAGTTTATATATATAAAATAGACTACTTGCTCTACCACTGTCCAGATTTCAAATTCTCTCGAGCAAAGGTTTTACAAGGAATTGAGGAATGAGAACTTCCAGTCTGCAAAAATAGTCATGTGCATATACAGGAAGCTGCTAGTCACTTGTAAGGAGCAAATGTGAGGCCATTTCTTCTTTTATATCACTATCTTTGCAAGTCGCTGTTTATTTGTTTTGATCCCTAAACATTCAATGGCAGTCTAACATAGTAGAAGATCCAAGACATTGTCATTTTCAAAAGCTTTAGATTGTCATGGCTGGTAGAATTGCATCGGTCATGTTAAGCTGATCTATTTTCTTTGTTACTTTTGCAGGACACTTTTCGCTAGTGGCTTGTTAAGGGCAATACAAGCTCTTTTGGATCAATCTCAACAAGATGACATGCAAATAACTGGATGTCAGACTCTTTTCGAATTTGTAAATAATCAGGTCAGTCTTTTATGTTTGCTAGATTTGTCATGTAAATAAATTATCTATTGTTTTTTTGGATTGAGTAGCCTGACAAATGAACTGAGGACAACATAGCTGATTTATGCTTTTAAACATTGCAGAAGGATAGTAGCTACATAAACAACTTAGAAGGGTTTATTCCAAAACTGTGCCAGTTAGCTCGGGAAGTTGGGGATAATGATAGATCAAGGAACCTGCGTGCAGCAGGACTTCAAGCCCTTTCATCAATGGTAATACGTTGGCATTAGTCCTTACACATTAACAACACCCTTCATAAGCATCTTCTGATGCAATCTCTGATTCCAGGTTTGGTTAATGGGCGAATACTCTCATATATCCAATGACTTTGATAATGTAAGTAAATCTCAGGTTTATATTTTTGTTCATTTTTTCTCTTCAGGGGTGTTTGGGTTCTTACAAATTTTATCCCCATTTCTCCATAACGAAAGGCAACGAATCTGTGATAACTCTACAATTGATGATGTGAATATGTGAGAAAAATTCTCCTAGTTTTCTTATTATGTACTGGCCTAAGTTCTAAAATATTATCACAATCAGTCGGCAGTTACTTACCAGTTGAACTGGCAAGTAAAGATCCTATTGCGGCATCAGTAAAGTTCGGGCCCATACTCATTATCATCTTGCTTAGTTATCACATTATCTTTTGACTGATTTGCTATTCAATCATGGCAGGTTGTCTGTGGGGTCTTGGAAAATTACGGCCATCCCAAAATACCATCAGATGCTAATGAGAGTAACAGAAAATGGGTAAATGAAGTGCTAAAAAATGAAGGTCACACTGCTTATCCAGACTCTCTTATAAATGTTCCTTCTTGGAGAAATGTTGTGAACGACAATGGTGAATCAAATGTGACAATGTAATTATCTGTGTGTACCTTGAGTTTATGTTTGTTCAGTTCTGGTCTTTTTACTCTTCTAAACTATATCTTTCCTTATCAGGGAAGATTCCCGAGACCCTAGCTTTTGGTCCAAGGTTTGCCTGCAGAACATGGCCAAGCTAGGTGAGGAGGCCACAACTGTGCGACGTATACTGGAGTCTTTGTTCCGTTACTTTGACGAGGGAAATCTGTGGTCAAAGGAAAATTCTACAGCATTCCAGGTTTTGAGGGATTTGCAATTTTTAATGGAGAAATCTGGTATTCTCTTTTCTCTTCTTCCTTTGTTGTTGTAATTTTTTTCTCGGCTCAACCCTATGAGATTTGTATGTGACATGTTTGCTAAATCACAGGTCAAGGAACACACTTTCTGTTGTCCATGTTGATCAAACATCTTGATCATAAAAACGTTCTTAAGCAGCCAAGCATTCAGCTCGATATTTTATGGGTTACCACCTCTCTTGCTGAACAGGCAAAAATTGAGCACTCAGTGGCAATAGTTGGTGCAATATGTGATATCATGAGGCACCTGAGAAAGAACATGCATTGCTCTCTTGACGATGCAAATTCAGGAGCTGATGAAACAAAGTTGAACAGAATGATTTCTGTAGCTGTTGACAAGTGCCTCATTGAATTAGCAGGCAAGGTAGGGTCTTATATCTTATTTTAAGTAAATTAACTTCTTAATATTTTCTTCGTGGTTCTGTTTTAACATTTATAAAGTTCTTAGCAAATGTAAGATGCTAGAAGCTGATCAGTCACATTTGTCAGGTTGGGGATGCTGGCCCAATTCTGGACGCCATGGCTATGATGTTGGAGAATATCTCAGCTATTACTGACGTTGCAAGAACCATGATTGCCACTGTTTTTCGAGCTGCTCAAATAATAGCCTCTATGCCATATCTGTCATATCGAGACAAGGCAATTTTTGTTAAAACACATTTAATATTTTTATTATTTTCATCTTGTAGAGAAATTAGACCCGTGCTAGTGAAATGGCTAAGAGTTTATTCCTTTTCATTTCAGGCTTTCCATGAGGCCTTATTCCATCAGTTACTTCAATCCATGGTTCATCCAGACCATGAAACACGCATTGGTGCTCATCGCATATTTTCTGTTGTGCTTGTGCCAACCTCAGTTTGCCCACGCCCTTCCTTAGTTTATGTTGACTTAAAGAAAGGCATGGGTCTTCCTCGTTCACTTTCAAGAACCGTGTCTGTCTTTTCCTCCTCGGCTGCCCTTTTTGAGAAGCTAAAGAAGGACAAATTTTCCTCGATACTAAACCCTGACCAGATCATAAAGGAAAGTGTCATATCCGAGGAAGAACCCAGAAGTAATAGTGGCAATAGATTGAAATCCTCGTACAGTCAGGCTTATAGCACAAGGGATCAACCAGAGGCCACAACAGCTGATACAAACTCCATAAATGTCTCGAACTCTGACCTGGTATGTCCTTGTGACCTTTCTCCATATGATAATTCGTATTAGTAATTTGTCTTAATTTTTCGATAGACCTTTAATTTGGATGTAGAGTCTTGCATTTACAGATGCTTTTTTTTTTGTGGATGAATGAACCGAAATTAGTATGCGTAAACCACATGTAGTTTCTTTACATGTAATTTTACAAATAGTCTTAATCATGGATAAAGGGTTATCTGTGATAGGTAACCAATGAGATGGCTACAATCTTTCTAACCCTTTCTTGTGTACTGTACTATCCTTTGCAGTTCAGCTAATGAGATGGTTCTGTTGATGTGTATCCAATTGATTTTTGATCCATTTCTCAGGATGTTGGCTGTCTAAGGCTAAGTAGTCACCAGATAAGTGTTCTGCTCTCATCAATATGGGCACAGTCCATATCTCCTGCAAATACACCAGAGAATTATGAAGCTATAGCTAACACATACAGTCTTCTATTGTTGTTCTCTCGTGCCAAGGTAACGTAAATGTCTTATATGAGTACTAGGTACCTTGGATTTATTTGGTTTTTTCTCATTTAACATTTGTGATGATATCTCGGTCAAAAAAATAGTTTTACTGTGAAAGACGATTTTATTATGCTTTTCATATAATATGTCTCGCAAAAATCCTACCTTGCAGAATTCCAGTCATGAGGCCTTGATTCGAAGTTTGCAAATGGCACTTTCGTTGCGGGATATTTCTCTCATGGAAGGAGGTGAGTTTCCAGATATCTTGACTGGTCTCTGAGTTGAGCCCTGATACTTGGTTTCTTACTAGAGTGGTGAAAGATTTACCATAATGTAATGGGGAAGTATCTGGCCTAAAGAAATCGTCCTTGAGACCTGAAACCATGTAGATGTGTAACACTTCTGGATGTTTGAATTTTTCATCGATCTGATTGAAGAACACCTTTGGTCTGGTCTGCCATAGCACAAAATGAGAACCACAACTTTATTGATTTCTCGTGATCTTCCCTCAGAATTTACCTGATAAAAAACCACCTAGAAATTATCTTTGGCACTATGCATGGTTTTGTTTAGGCTTTATCTGTTAAGGGAAGCTATTCTGTCGTGTCG